AAATTTCACTTCGCATTAAGAATAAGATGGTTCTGTGGTTTAAACCATAAGTTGCCTACAAAGCTGCGGCTTGGTTTATGGTGCTTTTAATAATTTGTTACAGTAAATCCAGTGAAATTCCAACGTGTCTTTCTTTCTGCTGTTAACTCATGCTCAATTTTTAAAAAATGATCAGTCTTTGAGGAGCTAGTTTAACAGTCAAGCTTACCTGTAGCACATGGATTGGTACAGGAGTCGATGGCATGGAGCTGGCTGAAATAATACGAATGACCATTGGATTCAATTCCCTCTCCATTTCCTCAGACATAAGTGAATTATCCACGGATATCGTGAAAATAGCATCCCATATTCCAGGCATTCTGTCATCCATTTTATTTGTGACTGATTTATCTCCTGGTGGTAGAATGAGGCGAATCATTATCAAAAGCATGTAAGTAGGATGAAAGGAGAAGCCGTGAATCACAGTCATTTAGCACTTGCTGTTGCTGAATACTTTCATTTAATTAAAACCATAAAGGTTACAACACAGAAGTAGGCTACTTTACCAATCTGATATTGGCTGTTATTTTTTGCTAGAACAATCCAGGACCAGTATTACTGCCTTTAAGTCTCCTTGTTTGAATTCTGTTAATTTTATTCTTAAGTGTTTTACAGACCAAATTAAATTATCCAATTCTCTGTGCAGTTAAAAGGCTTTAAAAGAAAGCATGTTCAGTTTTGTAACTTTGAATGAAGCTCTTCAGAACAGTGAGCCTATTACTGCCCTATCAGTCTACTTGCCATTATCAGCAAAGTGAAGGAAGGGGTTGGCTACAGTGCTAGCGGCATTTGCAAAGGAATAACTGTTCCACTGAAGCCCAGTTTGGATTCCACACAAACCACGCAGCTCCCGACTTCCGTACAGCTTGGTCCAAACAGGGACGAAAGAGCTAAATGCCAGAACAACCCTTGGCATCATGGCATCAAGGAGCCCTACCAATGCATTGTTGAAGGTTTAATGCAGACACACAGATCATCTGGTTGTCATCATTGGATGAATCTAGGGAGGGAGCATGTTGGTGAACGGCATACCAATGCAGCAATGTGACACCTATAAAACGTGCCAGTTGCCAGACCAAAATGCATAGGAGCAGAAGTGGGCCATTCCACCCATGAGTCTGTTCCACCATTTAATGAGATCATGGCTGATCTGAAAATCCTCAACCCCACTTTCCTGCCATTTTCCAGTAATCCTTGATTCCCTTACTGATTAAAAAGCTGTCCATCTCAGCCTTGAATATACTTAATGACCCACAGCCCTGTGTGATAAAGAATTTCACTGATTAACCACCCTCTGAGAAAACAAATTCATCCTTATCTCTGAATTAAATGCGCAACGCCTTATTCTGAGATTATGCCCTTTGATCATGGATGAACAACCTTTTGGCATATATCCTGTCGTCAAGTCCTCTAAGAATCTTGTACGTTCCAATCATGTCACATTTCATTCTTCTATATTCCAATGAATACAGGTGCATTCTACCCAACCTCTCCTCAAAAGACAGTCCCAACATAACAGTTGGTATCAGCCTAGTGAACCTTCCCTGGACTGCCTCCAATGCCAGTATATCTTACCTTAGATAAGGAGCTCAAAACTGTCCACAGTATTCTAGCTGAGGTTTTAGCAAAACCTCCCTACTTTTACATTCCATTCCTGATGAAATAAAGGCTAATATTCCATCTGTCTTCCCTATTACCCTGAACTTGGATGCTAGCTTTTTGTGATTCATGGATGGAACCCCAAATTCCTCTGTTCCATAGCTTTCTAGAGTTTTTATCCTTCAAATAATATTTAGCTCCTCTATTCTTCCTGCCAATGTCCATAACCTCATATTTCTCTACATCATATTCCATCTGCTGAGTTTTTGCCCACTTACTTGGCCTGTCTATCTCTCTCTGCAGACTCTGTCGGCCTCACCACCTATTTTAGTGTCCTCTGTAAACTGGATATAGTATATTCATTTTCCTCATCCAAGTCATTAATACATATGGTAAATAATTATGGTCCCAGCATTGGTCCTTATGGTACACCACTAGTTACATCCTGAAAATATCCCTCTTAACCCAACTCTGTCTTTCTCCTCGATCCATGAGTCCTTAGTCCCATTAATTTCCCTAGCATTTTTTCTCTAGTGGCAATTATTGCATTTATTTCCTCCCCTCCTTTAAACTCTTGAATATTTAGTAATTCTGGAATGCTATTAGTGTCTCCTACTGTGGAGTTCAATCAAACAAATGACTATTTTGGTCATAGTCCTCATTCCAGTCAAGGGAAGGCCACTGTCAGTCAAGGGGTCCCAGTTCCATGTCAGAAGCATAATCCAACAGCTTTGACGTAGTTAGCTGTCTGCTATAGGTGCTCATCTTCAGACGGTTGGTCTCTATACAGTTTGGGGAGTGTTCAGTAGTCAGTCCTGTAGACCTGGTGTAAGCAGTCAGGGGAATTGTGTATCATTAGTTAGGGAGCTGTAAACACAGCAGTGAGGGGTCTGGTCTGTCACATGTTAGTTGAGGACTGGATGCGTGTGCGCATGAGTGCGTGTGAGTGTACGCATGCGTATGTGCATGTGCATGTGCGTACAGAAAAGATGGTGACAGGGATGGGGGGCAGTGTTCAAGTTCAAAGGAGGAAATTTGGAACAGAATCAGAGGGCATGGAAGGCTACAGGATGGATCATTATTGACTGTGACAGTTTCAGAGGAGTGTAATGGTGTGATGCCATGTGAGACCCCACCAACATTGCTAAATAGTTAGAGGCAATCAGGAATGCACTAGGCAGAGAGCAGGCCGTGCACAAGTCATGGTGAAGTGCATGTACATCTGAGCAGCAACTTTAAAAGGTTAGCATCATAAAGCATGGAAACAGACCCTTCAGTCCAACTAGTCCACATCAACTGTTTTCCCAAACTAAACTAGTCCCACTTGCCTATGTTTGGCTCGTATCCTTCCAAACCCTTTCTATTCATGTATCTGTCCAAATGTCTTTTAAATTTTGTAACTGAGCCTGCATCCACTATTTCCTCTGGCAGTTCATTCCACACTAACCACTCTCTGCATAAAAAAGTTGCCCCTCATGTCTTTTTTAAATCTTTCTCCTCTCACCTCAAAAATATGCCCCCTTAGTTTGGAACCTCCCCCCACCACTGTAGGAAAAAAGACCTTTACAATTCACCTTATCTATGCCCCGCGTGATTTTATAAACCTCTAAAACATCACCCCTCAACTGCCTATGCCTCAGTGAACAGAGTCCCAGCCTATCCAGCGTCTCCTATAAGTCAAATCCTCCATTCCCAGCAACATCCTGGTAAATCTATTCTGAACCCTCTCTAGCTTAATAATATCCTTCCTAAATCAGGGCAACCAGAACTGGACACAATACTCCAGAAGAGGCCTCTGCAATGTCATGTACAACCTCAACATGACATCCCAACTCCTATACTCAAAGGTCTGAGCAATGAAGGCAAGCATGCTAAATGCCTTCTTAACCACCCTGTCTACACATGATTCAAATTTCAAAGAATTATGTACCTGAAACCCTTAGGTCCCCTGAACCACTGTTCTACAACACTACCCTGGGTCCTAGCATTACTTGTATAAGTCCTGCCTTTATTTGTTTCACAAAAATGTGGTATTTCACATTTATCCAAATTAAACACCATCCGCTGCTCCTCAGCGCATTGACCCAATGAATCAAGATCTATTTGTTATCTTAGATAATCTTCTTCACTGTCCACTATACCACCAATTTTGGTGTCATCCACAAACTTACTAACCGTGCCTTCTATACCGTGTACTGACCCTGTGGAACACCACAGGTCACAGGCTTCCAGTCCGAAAAACAACCGTCCCCCACCATCTGTCTCCTACCATCAAGCCAATTTTGTATCCAATTAGCAAGCTCACCCTTAATCCCATGTGATCTAAACTTACTAATTAGTCTACCATGCAGAGCCTTGTCAAAGGCTTTACTAAATTCCAAGTAAACTATATCTACCACTCTGCCCTCAATAGTCTTTTTGGTTACATTGTCAAAAAACTCAATCAAGTTTGTTAGGCACGATTTCCCTCACACAAAATCATGCTGACTACTCCTAATCATTCCTTGCCTCTCCAAATGCACGTACATCCTATCTTTCAGAATCATCCCCAACAACTTACCCACCACCGATGTCACAGATCTGCAGTTTCTAGACTTCTCCTTACGGCCTTTCTTAAATAAAGGCACAAAATTAGCCACACTCCCTCCAGTCCTCTGTCACCTCACCCTTGGTTATAGATGATATCAAATATTTCTGCTGGGGGCCTGCAGTTTCCTCCCTAACTTCCCACAACATCCTGGGATACACTTGATTGGGACCCAGAGATTTATCTACCTTTATGTTTTCTAAGGCCTCCAGTAATTCCTCTTCAAAAATGTGAACTATTTTCAAAACATCAATATTTATTTCCCTGAGTTCTCTAGCCTCCATTTCTTTCTCCACAATAAAAACTGATGTGAATATATTCATTTACTATTTCTTCCATCTTCTGAGGGTCAACACAAAGACAACCTTGTTGATCTCAAGGGGTCCTACTTTCTCTCTAGTTTCTCTTTTGCTCTTAATGTACTTGTAGAATCTCTACAGATTATCCTTAATCTTATCTGCCAAGGCTATCTTATACCCCCCTTTACCTTCCTCATTTCCGTCTGAAGAACGTCCCTATACTCTTTACAGTCAAAGAGATTAATTTGATCGCAATTGTCTTTACCTAATATTTGATTCATTTTTATTCTTGACTAGAATCTCAATATCTTTATTCATTCACTGTTCCCTAATCTTACCAGCCTTACCTTTCACCTCAGCAGGAACATAATGCCTCTGAACTCTCGTTATCACACTTTTGGAAGCCTCCTACTTCTCAGTCATCTCTTTCCCTGCAAACAAGCTACTCCAATCAACTTTTAAAAGTTCTTGTCTCATACCATTAAATTTGCCTTACTCCAATTAAAAACGTTAACTTTTATGGAATGCTTATCTTTTTCCATAACTATTTTAGAACTAATAGAATTATGATCACTAATCCCAAAGTGTTCCCTTACTAATACTTAAGTCACCTGCCCTGCCCTGCCTTATTTCCCAGGAGGAGGTCAAGTTTTGCTCCTTCTCTAGTAGGAATATTTACATATTGATAAAGAAAATTTTATTGAACACATTTAACAGATTCCTCACCATCCTAACCTTTAACTCTGGCAGCCCCAGTCGATGTTTGAAAAATTAAAATCCCCTACTATTACAACCCTATTATTCCTACAAATATCTGAGGTCTATTAAATATTTGTTTCTGAATTTCCCTCTGAATATTTCAAGCCTATAGTACAATCCCATCAAGGTGATCATCTCTTTCTTATTTCTAATTTCAATCCATGTATTTGCACTGGATGATCCCTCAGAAATATCCTCTCTATTACAGTGGAAATGTTTTCTTGAAGTAAAAATGCCACTCTCCTTCCTCTATTGCCTGGCTTTTTATCCTTCCTATAGCATCTAAAACCCGGAACTTGGAGTTGCCAGTCCTGTTCTTCCCCCAGCCAAGTTTCTGTAATAGTTATGATGTCCCAGTTCCATGTTTCAATACATGCCCTGAGTTCATCAGCCTTACTTGTAAGATCCCTTGCATTGAAATAAATGCAGTCTAATTCTTCAGCATTACTTCATTGATTGACTTGCTCTTGTCTGTCTTTTCTAGCTAACTTGCTCTTTCCTGATTCAGAACCATCCTCATCTGTCTTTCTATTTTCACCACTACTTGTGAACACACACCCCCAACATCCTAATAGTTTACAGACTCGCAAAGCAGAATGAGCAAATCTCCTCACCAGGATATTGGTCCCTTTCCAGTTCAGGTGAAACACATTCCTTTTGAACAGGTCTTTTCTATCCCAGAAGAGATCCCAATGATCGAAGAATCTGAATCCCTTCACAACATTACACCACCTCTTCAGTCATTGTTTCATCTGCCCTATCCTTTTATTCCTTCCCTCAGTAGAGTTTGGCACCGGGAGTAAACCAGAGATTACTACTTTTGCGGTTCTGTTTTTTAACCTTCTACCCCCACCTCTTACATTCATTCTGCAAAGCCTTAACGCTTTAACAGGTTCTCCTGTTCAGTAAATAGGCCACTCTTAATGAAGAGTAATTAGAGGGAATATTAGGCCCTACCCAATTTAGTGCACTTAATTATAACAATAAGAAATAACAATACATTACAATAAATCCTAGAAATCGTGGCACTGGAAATAGAGAAAGTGCCACAATCACAATCACTACCATCTTTTTCACATTCCTCCTGTCCCTACTGACTCACTGTGTAACACAGAGACACAGACATTCATTGCATCACAGCACCATGGGATGCTATCAAAAGCATATTAACTCCACTAGAAGTGGTGTCTCACTGCTGTTATTGCTCCTTCCTGTGCACACTGGAATAATGACGGTCTGACCAGCAGAAAATGTGCCTCATTATTTCTACTCTGTTCCACTGAGCATTAATTACACTGTATAAACTGAAGTGTCCTATCCTGAATTTAGATAAACCAAAGGGACAGTTTCTTAAGTTACTCAAGTAGTTAAAACATAATTAAGTTTTATCTGCTATATTTTTTGAACTATACTACCATTTGTTCAGAGTTTGCTAATTAATACCCTCTGCCTGATCTTTTCAGCTAAGATGCAACTAATTATCTATAAACTTTGTTTCTTGGAAGAATGGACAGGGGTATAAAATTGGAAGAAGTTTAGGCTATTAAGGTGCTATCAGAACATAACATCTATCTACCAATACCTCAAAGAGGAGTATACAAACCAAGTGTTCTCCTACTTTTATTCTATTTAGGAAAAGTGATTGTGAAGAGTGTCTCCCCGTCTGGTTGGCTCCAATTGTAAACAGTAGGTGGAAAGGACACCTTCGCTGAGCTGATGGGGTATTTTTCAAATATGTAGGTGGAGCTCCAATGACGTCATCACAGTGTGATCTGCTATTTTAACCAGAGCAGGGAAGCAACAGTAGGAAGACTCATTGGGAACAGCAGTCATGCCAGAAAAAAGCTCAGTGAAGTCAAACGTATGTGTGTTTTTTTAGCACCATTGTGATTCAGGAGTTGCTGGAGTTCTCCTCTGGGCTCCACAAGAAAACACTGGGATTCAGTGGCCCAAGCTTCTTTCTGTGTCCTGGGATTCTCCAACCAGAATACCTACCATGAACATGCAACTGTGCCCTGGGTCCACAGTAGTAATGTTATGTTGTTTAGATTTAACAGCCAAGCAGACATTAACAGACCTGTCACATGTCCCCAAAGTCAAGCAGTTTACTAATGAGGTTCGGCCATTAAGTCAGCTAATGCCAGTCATGATGGACAGGCTGCATGATATATTCTGTTCCCGTCTCAAATTTAAAATTTGGTCCTGTATGTATACTTGCTTAGATATATTTTCTACTTATTTTATGCCAGTTAAATAGTTACCACATTGAGATTAGTCTGGTTCCTTTTAGGTATGTAACATTGCTTTCACAATAGAACTTTTCTCAAGGCAATAACTAAACATTTACATCAAAAGAAAGCCGTCAAGGAGACAGACCAGTTCTGGTACCAGTCTGCAAGCAGTTATTAAAACTTTCCATCCCTACCTCCTGCAGAAGACTTCAAAGTCATGCCGTAAACACAGCCTCCAAATAAGCATCATTAAATCTTTAAAGCAATACTGAAGAATTTAGGAAGTGTAGCATGTGTTGCTAATTAGTCACAGGATGTGGGATAATACTTGTGCATTCTCTTTTATAAAAGTCTGTATTTTTATTCCAGTTCAATGAAAAGAACTCCAGCAGACCATAAAGGCAGGATTTTGACATTGATAGATTTGAAATTAGTGCAATTCAACAAAAATAAAGTGTTCTTCTCCCAATTTTTTTTTGCCAGCTCCAAGGAGCTTGAAGATGCTAGTAATCAAAGGACTAATCAAAGGACTCATTTATGATAGCAATTAGAAATAACATTATAATTGTTATTATAATGCAGGCCCAAAGCTCCCAGTTGCATTTTTTCAAAATCAGTAAGTTAAAAATTAGAAATAATTATTTCATCTTTGGCCTAAAATCATAACTAATATATCCACCATAAACAACACCAGAATTATTCCACTTAATGCACAAATCCTGCAGAGAAAAATAAACATAATAAAATGATTATTAAAAAACAGTAATTTTATTTAGTTAGAAGAAATTGTTTTTCTTCAAAAGAAGGCAATTATAGAAACCAGAGGACAATAAAAGGAGACTGTTGACTGCGTAAAGGTTTAAAGCTACAGGAAAGTTAGAAATTTAGTAACATAACTGTTCTATCCTAGGATCACTGTATGATTATCTGTGTTCACTTACCTGCAAGAAGCAGCCTCATATCCAGCTTTATTGTACCTGAGCTATATTTCTCTGTCACTTTCTTTTTCTGACGTGGTTGCTGGGGTGCTTCCTCATGCAGAATCTTGCTTTTGGACTTGGTTTTTGGTTCAGCTGCAGTGACACCTGGCCATGGTTAGGTTCAGTTAGAATCATGGTATGCTTTACCTAAACTACTTAAGAACAATTTAAAAAAAATCAAACCTTAATCATTTATTAAAGGGAACAATAGAGAAATATACTTCCAGCATTAACTATTACTATTCCTTTCTAGACTGGGGGGAAAATGTGTTGCACTGTTTCTGTGATTCATTTGCATGGTAGAAGAGAGGTGTTATCAATCAGGTTTGGTGAGGATATCCCTCGTTCTCTACGCTCTGATGTTCCTGGATGAATGAGTATCCCAGAATGATAGTGAAACTGGTGCTGACTTGCATTATCCATCTATGATGATCGCACACCATTTGAATGTTGGTGACATGGAAGACTTTCCTGTTCACACATGCTGTTGACTCATCCTGTATAGCCCTGTTAGCTGCATGAACACAGTTCACTGTATACCCAACACAATAGAGACTGACCACTGCTTCAAATTGCAGAGCTCTCTCATTCTGGCAGCTGGCACTGGTCACAAAGATTCACATACATGAGCGATATCCTGTTTGATGCAACTGTAATTCCTAGATTGAAGGATCTGGGCAATGTCCTTAACTTGTGTGAACCTGAAAGGGGAAAATGTTAATGATGGTGAGGATATTGAAAGCCACTGTCACAGTGTGATTACACTGGCCAGTGATATCCTTTTTCTGCAATGCTCCTCAGAAATATCCAAGACATGCCATTCTCTATTGTGTCATTTCCACCAATTGCTCATCCATCCAAAGGAGATATGGATTGTGTTTTTGAACAATTAACAGCAATACAGGCAGCTCAGTGGCTATATCTGAAGGGGACTGGGGGTGTGAAGCGGGAAAAGGATGGGGGTGAGATGGGTAGGTTGAGGGGAAGCTAAGGGGGCAAAGGGGATGGAGATTAGGGCAGTTTTACTCTGATTAACAGAACTGGGTCAACATCTCTGAAAATGAAGAAGGGTCTTTTAACCTGACAGCCTTGGCATAAGGAGAAAGTAGGCCTTCAAAAAATTGAAAGACCCATGTGAACACTATTAAGACAGAGGTTGGATCACCACCTTGAGAAATTCCTAATTTCTGATTCCTATCTCCATGATGAAAATCGGACCCAGTTTGCTACATTTACTATTCATTACTTATCTTGGAAACAGCATAAAGGGTGAACATATTTGAAAAGTACATGAGATACTGTACTTTTTGTTTCATTAATTCATGGGATGTGGGCTTCTCTGGATGGACCCGTATTTCTTGTCCATCCTTTGTTGTTCTTGAGAAGGTGATGGTCAGCTGCCTTCTTGAACCACTTCAGTACATTTAGTTTGGGTACACTCACTATGCTGTACAGGAAATAATTCCAGGATATTGACGCAGTGACATGGATGTAATGGGTAATGTATTTCCAAGTTGGGATGTTGGATAGCTTGAAGGTGATAGTGTTCCCATGTGTTTGCTGCCCTTGTCCTTCTACATAGAGGTGATTGTGGTTTGAAAGGTGCTGTCTAGGGAGTCTTGGGAATCTTCTGCAGTGCATCTAGTAGAGGGTGCACACTTCTGCTACTGAGCATTGGAGGCGGAGGGAGTGAATGTTTGTGGATGTGGTGCCAATTAAGTGTGCTACTTTGTTCTGAATAGTGTTAGGTTTCTTGAGTGTTGTTGGAGCTGCCCCCATCCAGCAAGTGGGGAACATCCCATCACACTCCTGATGTGTGCCTCGTACAGTATAACAGCGCTGGGGAGTCAGGAAGTGAATTACTCCCTGCAAAATTCCTAGCCTCTGACCTGCTCTTGTAGCTCAGAATTCATGTGGCATGTAGTTCAGTTTCTGGTATCCCCCAGGATTTTGACAGTGGGGGAACTGAGTGATGGCAATGCTATTATTTGTCAAAGGGAGATGGTTAGATTTTCTCGTTAGAAACGTTAGTTGCTTGGCAGTTATGTGACATGAATATTACTTGCCACTTATCAGCCCAAGCCTGGATGTTGTCCAGGCTGCATTTGGACATGGACTGCTCCAGTGTTTGAGGAGTTGTGAATGGTGCACAACGTTATGAAAGCATCAGCAAACATCCCCATTTCTAACCTTATGATGGAGGGAGGGCAATTATTGAAGAATTGAGGATGTTCAGACCAAGGACACCATGCTGAGGAACTCCTGCAGCAATGTACTGCTGCTGAAGTGACTGACCTCCAACAACACCACCATCTTCCTTTGTACATCGAACCATTGAAGAGATTACATACCTCCCAATTTCCGTTGACTCCGGTTTTCCTAAATTTCTTTGATGCCACACTCTTAAATGCTGCCTTGGTGTCAAGGGCTGTGGGCTTTCACCTCCTTTTTGGAGTTTAGCTCTTTTATCCTGGAGCTGTATGGTCCTGGTGGAACCCAAACTGAACATGTTACAGCTTATCAAGTGCGGTTTGATAGCACTCTTGAAGTGTCCTTTCATCATTCTACTGCTGATTGAGAGCGAGCTAATGAGGCAATAATCCAGGTTGGATTTATCCTGCCTTTTGTGTACAGGACATTTCCAAGCAAATTTCCACATTGTCAGGTAATAAAATGTGATACAGAAAAATATACGAGATACAGAATGAAACAGCCACATTATGTGGTAGTAAACAAAGACAGAACCAGGATGGTATTGATTATTTAAAAGATAAGACATTTAAAAGTATATTTTATAAACAGATTGCTGGAAGTCTGTTCCAGGCTGTAGCCTATACCTTAGTTTCAGATTGTTCCATAGCTGATCATTCAATGGTCATGGTCAACACCAAAATAATCCTTTATGCTATTGACTTAAAATAAATTTACTGTTTCCTTTAATCTTTATAGGTTCTTTTGTTTAAATTGCTTAAGTCTTTTACCTGTCAAGCTAAGTATTGCTGATACTTGCAAGAACTATAGGAAGAACTCTGAATAGGTTCTGCTCTCTAACTTTGAGCATCAAAAGGCGTGCAACTTTCCTAACTTTAGAGCTTGGGTTTAGGTTTCACATAAATGTAAATTTCAATCAAATGCATACTTCTAACCTTCTATACTATCAAGTAGTAAAATAAGCAAAAGAGAAGACTGACTCCACAAATCAACAAGGTATCAGATTCAATTTTCAAAAGTGAATTAGCTATATTTTTAAAAAAGAGGAAAACAGCAGGGCTATGAGGACCAAACCTATTTCTGTGCCATAAGTCTGTATGATTTGAAGCAGACTCCATACAATGAGAGTAAATTCAATACTCTCCAGTTTTGCTGAAAAAGGACATTTTGTTGGAGATTTCCATCTTGTACCCATCAAGATGCTTGCAATAATACCACTGGAAAGCTGAATAACATTTTATCCTGAATGAGAAGAGACAGCTGACTCATTGGCAAATGGGCTCTAATTGACAGAGGCATTGCCATACAGAGGCATTGCCATATGGAATGCACTAGCTAGATGATGACTGACAATTAACTGCCAAGCTTTGTTTAATTTTGAATCAGGCAGGTTGACACAGTGTGGTGCATTTTCACATACTGGAAGCTACATGAAAAACACAGGACCCTACTTGTTATAGGCAGAATGAGCAATTACTCAATTGCACCCATTTCAGTTTAAGAAAATAAGTTCATCCCTCACAACACTGTTTTGACCGATCAATATCAGCCTGCCTTCCTTAAATTTAAGCAAAACTTGCGAATATTCTAATGAATGCAAGATGAAAACCTTCAACAAGTGTATCTGTTCTGAACAATACTCGAGATCTGTATTTACAAACTATTCTATAGTTTATTCAAGTGGAACCAATCTGTTCACAAACTTGTACTTTTTGATCCCTGAGGTGAGTTTCTGACCATACATTCGCTATATCACTAAGACCGTCTATTTCTACCTCCTCACCTAATTTTACTCCTGCTGTAACCTTCACTGATGTTTTTGTGACTTCCAGTATAGACCATTTCAAGGCAATCCTGGCTGATCTTCCACACTCTTACCCTCGATAAACTTGAGGTTGTCCAAAACTCTGCTGCTCATGTCTTAATTTTCACCAAGTCATGCTCATCCACCATCCTGTTGTTTGGTGACCTACTGTGATTCCTGAAAGAGGCAGCTTAACTTTAAAATTCACATCCTTGTTTACAAATCCACTCATAGTCTGATCCTTCTCTAATTATTAAATTTCCTGCAACTCCATACCCCTCTGAGGACTCTGCACTCTAATTCTGGCCTCTTAAGCATCTCTGATATTAATCCTGTTCACATTAGTGTCCTTTAGTTGCATTGATCTTAAGTTCTGAAATTCCCTCCCTATAACTCACTGGCTCTCTATCTTGATTTCTTCCTTTAAGATATGCCTTAAAACCTACCTCTTTGACCAAACAGGAGCAAATTAAGCCTTACTTAATATCTCCTTAAGTAGCTTGGTGTGATAATCTGTTAAATATCCTTGGGACATTTGATCAGTGTAGAGACCCATATAAGTTGTTGCTTTTGTTGTTCAGGGAACTAAAATTAGCTTTGCACTTGTAGTTGGTCCTTTTTTCAATTATACTCAGTGTCTTTCGCCAAGCTGAAAGTACGTGAAGATTGGTAAGGGTAACCAGCTGGAAATGGTATCAGTTTTGGGAAATAAAGCAAATTTCTGTTCCTTAAACTCACTAAGGTGATTATTTTAACATCTGTTAGATTATAGTTTGATGAACTGGTGTTTGTCACAGTGCAGTTTAATCAGTCAGTCAAAACAAAATATGTTGAAACCAGTGTCTCAACTAAAGCTGAGGGACACAAAAGTATACACAATAATAATTTGGAATGATTTTGTTTTAAGACTTGGCAAGGCTATGATCAGCATTATCTCTCATTGGGTTCCAGTTAGTGTTTTTGCATTTGTTGAGATCATGTTGTTTTCTAACAGAATCTTCCTTGAGGGGATTCCTTGAGGGGATTAGTCAAGTTTCAACAACAACTGGTTTTCTCTTTTCAGCAGGATGTTTCAATTGTCCTGTGGCAT